AATGCCTGTCTTTGAAACCCAGTTTCTTTGCTATCTGTAGGGCTATATTAAATGCCATCTTCTAACCATTTCTGTCTGAAGATGTTTGTAACACTTGACTAAAAAAATATGCATTTGAACTTTGTACTTTAGAAAGTGAATATTTCCTATTATGTACTTAAAATCTCAAGTTAAACTTGCATTTAAACCAGTTCCTTGGAAAACTGCTGGTGTCTGCAGGAATACAAGATATCCCTTGAGCAAAGTTCTGTTGGTATCTTTGATCAATCTAAGATGTACTTTTCTGTATTTTTGCTTGTTTGAATCCATGGACATGTCAAGAATCTCATTAAATTTTGTACTTTGTATTTTTTCCATTGTTGGTACACACTGGTTCTCCTCCTTTCATGTGAAGGAGGTGGAGGTTGATAAGATTCATGCATATTTCAGGTGGCAGGTAAGCAAGACTGCACTAGATGAAGAATATAGTTGATTCCCCTTTAAATATCATGTAATATTTAATTAAAGACTTTTTGCACAGCCTTTAAAACCTTCATTTGGGAAAGAGCACATTGTTATCCTGACACCAAATTCTTAAAATGTTATTGAGTGTCTTCAGTAATCACAAGGATATGCTTCCTGAAGTTCCCAGATTGGTGACTGCTGTGTTTTCTTTATCTGTAGTGCATGAATAATGGTATTGCATTAACTCAGGCCTGCTATCTGGAGAAAGAAGAAAAGTGTCTTCCTCCCCCTAGGTTAGTAGAAAGTCGATTTATTATTGCCTTTTATTGGATAGGATTCTTTATCTCTCCCTTCATACAACATTGAGGTTAAGTAGCCTAGATTGAATAGTGTATTTGGTGGGAAAAAGCCCTGCTTTTTGAGAATATTTTCAGTGATTGTTATAGGGTGCCAATATGCTGAAATAACTGTATCAAAACTACCCAAATCTTAGAATTCAACATAATACTGGCTTTGTCTGTTTACCGGGTATATTTCTGCAGGTAGGAAAGAGACCAGATAAAATTATACATTTCTTGTGTGTTTGGGGGGGAAAAAAAATAGTCTAACCGTTTCTATTTAGTCATATATTATGGGAATATGTAGGATTGGTGTGGCCAGGGATGAAAACAGTGGTCTGATTACTTGATGGATAAAGGATTTTGAGGCCAACCAATATGGGAAAATATAGGATGAGTTAATTGCATCAGTATTCTGAATTGGGTTTAGAAGATATGGGAATACAAAGGGTGAGATGTTAAGGGTCACCTGTGGAAGATAGAGATGTGAGGAAATAGAGGCCACCTGTAGAAGATTAGGAAGGTTGTTGAAAATATCCAAACCCTGGACTGAGAAGGGGCTGCTGGGTTGTCTCTGCTCTTCTGTCTCCCCACAATATATCTTGTTTCTTACTGAATTTCAATTCACAATGCCTTCCCTGGAGGTAACAGATTTAATGTGTGTTGAAGTTAGTATAAGAACAAGGAGTAATGGTGATTGTGACTTCTGGTTTTCTTTTTCTAGTATTTGAGTAGTGATAACGGTGGAACAAACAGAACAAGAACTGGACAAGGCTGCATCACTCATTAAGGAAGCTGCACGGTCTGTGCTAAATTAGACTGCTATTTCAGATACCTTCCTCAAATTATCAGGAGACATGTTTTACGCTCTATAGTGTCTTGGCTTCCACTTCAGTAATGATGGCACTCAGGCCTTACTGAGTAACAAGATTGTTCCAGAATGGCACATATGCAGTAATAGGAAGAATGCTGAATTTTGGAACTGGTAAATGACATAGTGTATTTACAACTTTAAACTCTGCCATTTAGTAGCATTTCTTAAAATGGAAAAATGGAATATCAGCATTTCACACATTTTCATAAGTTTCATCTTAAAAAGCCTTAAATTTATTTTCTCATACCCTTGAATGTTTTTCTTCCCCCCCCCCCCAAAAAAAAAAAAACACATTTAAAATGCATATTTTTCTCTGAATAGTCTCAGAATGTGGGAAGTTCACATAAGTTAAAATGATTTTTTTTTTCTTCAAAATGAAGATAGCTCGTTCCTAATACTGCTAAAAAGAAAACAATAACCCATTAGGAGTTTTATTTCAGCTATATTAATTTGTTTGTTGTTGAATCACAGTGGAAACTTGAATTCTTATGTGTTAACCATTTCTGGAAGCCAGTTTTTCAGAATCCCTGGCCAGATAATTTTGTTGTATAAATGATAAATTCATATTAAGCACTATTTGCTTACTGAATTTCATATGTAAATATATGCATATTTGACACATTATGGGTGAGATTTTTCTTATTACTAATTTAAATACATAAACTTAAACCTGTAAATTGTGAAATTGGTGCAGTTGCATTTTAGTATGTTCAGCCTTTGCACCAGTCTTGAAGAGGAGGTGTAAACAATATGAAGAATGAACCAAAGTTCTGAAAAGCCATTTCATATAAGCTTATGCAAACAACATTGGAGCCCTAAAATGTGTGTGCTAAATTGTATCTCTAAAAAGCTATACCTTAGAGAGGAACACTCACAGATAGATATTAAGATTTTTAGGTGGTACAAATACTACTGAAATGCAACTCAATAGATACACCTAAAATCCTCACATAACCTGCAAATACTTATTTTCCAATTATATTGTAAGGTTTTTTGATAAGCACAGATGGACAGAAACATTACACCAGTCATAGAAAACTGGTAAGGGAGGATGAGAATAAACTGTAACTTTTTATAAAATAGAAGCTATAACTATGGATTCAGGTTTTTTTGTTTGTTTGTTTTTTGTTTTTGAATACTTGTTTAAAAAACTTTGTGTTCTGACTGTTCTGTATTCTGGGTTGTTTTATAATTATGTGCCTTTTTGGTTGATGCTACAAGGATTACGGTGCTATTTTTGAGAAAGAACATTGTTTAACATTTTATTTAAAACATGTTTAATTCAAATCTTCATGTATCATATGGTTGAATAATATGACAAAATCCAGTTATATTTTGTTGGATGTTCAGCATCACTTGCCTATAGTCTGTGTTGTTTCTTTCATTTCATAGTGACCAAGTTTGTACTGGCTTTCCAAACTTCTCACCTGTGTGCATTCAAGTAATCCAGCTAAAGTTGAGTTCTGGCACTTGTGTGATGATTGCTGATGCTGCTATTGGAAATAGTGACTCTGAAATCACTCTCTGTACAATGTAAAGAAACTTTTACCTGAATGTGAATGAGTATTGCTGTTATGTTGTCATTTATGAGTCTCTTAATTGTAAGAGTCTGTGAGAAACCAACACTTTAAGAGCAAAAACATGAGGACGAAAGCTGATCTTTCCATTTTAAAGGTTTGTATTAAAGGGCACAACAATCAACTTTATCAAGGCCCTCAAAGTTTATGACAGAGCAGGAAGTGAAAACTTACTGCTTTGAGTTAGTGAAACATTTTTGTCTTGATAATACAATATTTTATTGTCAAAGGCAAATTCAAGCCTTTAATGTATAAGTAGGCACAAATGAGATGCTTGGATCCTAACATGGCATAGGAAATGGTTTTGGAGTTCAGGAAAATCACAGAATGGTTGAGGTTGGAAGGGACCTTGAGAGATCATCTAGTAAAACCCCCCTGCTCCAGCAGGGACACCTAGAGCACGGGGCACAAGGTCACATCTAGGCGGGTTTAGAAGACCTCCAGAGAAGGAGACTCCACAGCCTCTCTGGGCAGCCTGTGCCAGTGCTCTGTCACCCTCACTGTTAAGAACCTCTTTCTCATATGGAGATGGAATTGCCTATGTTTCAATTTGTATCCATTACCCCCTATCCTGTCACTGGCCACCACAGAGGAGAGTTTGGCCCCATCCTCCCTACCTTTGCACGTGTTGATAAGATCCCCTCTCAGTCTTCCCTTCTCCAGGCTAAACAGGCCCAGCTCGCTCAGTCTTTCCTCATACAATAAATGCTCCAGTCCTTTAATCATCGTTGTCGCTCGATGCTGGACCCTCTCTAGAAGCTCAATGTCCTTCTTGTCCTGGGGAGCCCAGAACTGCTCCCAATACTCCAGGTGTGGCCTCACCAGAGCTGAGGAGAGGGGAAGGATCACCTCCCTCGACCTGCTGGCAACACTCCTCCTGATGCAGGCCAGGATCCCATTGGCCTTCTTGGCCACAAGGGCACATTGCTGCTTCATGGCTAACTTGTCCACCAGGACTCCCAAATCCCTCTCCATGGAGCTGCTTTCCAGCAGGTCAACCCCTAATCTGTCCTGGTGCCTGGGGTTATTCCTCCCCAGGTGCAGGACCCTGCACTTGTCCTTGTTGAACCTCATGAGGTTCCTCTCTGCCCAACTCTCCAACCTGTCCAGGGACCTCTGAATGGCAGCACAGCCCTCGGGAGTGTCGGCCACTCTGCCCAGTTTGGTATCATCTGCAAACTTGCTGAGGGTGCCCTCTGTGCCCTCGTCCAAGTCATCGATGAAGAAGTTGAACAGCCCTGGGCCCAGTACTGACCCCTGGAGGACACCACTGCCCACAGATGTCTATGAATGTAAGCAAATCACTAATTAACAATGAAATATTAGATTGCAAAATCTGTTTGCAAAATCTATATTCAGTGCTCTTATGGGGTTTCAAATTGTCTCCAAAGCAGGAGAATATTTTGGTGCCACTATTGAGAGCTAAAGCAAACTTTTGATGTGTGTGATTTTGGTCTTTTGCCTTTTCTAAATGAAGTGATGAGACCTAAATTGACGGGAAACAATGGAACTTGTGGGAGTTTCAAAGCCATTGCTAAGTGGTTCTGGGAAGACAAAAGTTTCAGTATGTCATTAAGAGAGAGTATCTCCAGTTCTTTTAACAAACTTATATCCAGCACTAAAACATGGTTTGAGTATGTCATTAAGAGAGATTATTTCCAGTTCTTTTAGCAAACTTATATCCAGCACTAAAACATTTGTAAAACTGCCTTTGTCCATTGTTGTTTATAGTGTTTAGAAAATCAGAACATAGATTGTAATGAAGTATAAAGCCTTGTTGTGACTAGCAATTGAAATATTTTTATAATGTGTTTTTTTTTTTTTTTTTTTTTTACTAATGGGCTATATGCAGGGTCTCTGGTAGAAATTAGGGAGCTCAGGTGATCTAGCTGGTGTAGAGAGATATTCCATGTTAGTTCAAGCATATCTGGCCCACTTCATTTTGACTCTGAGAAATGTCTCAATTTGACAAGGCAGATGAAGGGAATAATGGCTGGGGGAGAAGAAAGGTTGGCTGGGATTAGAGAGACAGTAGATAATTCTGGTTAACCTTTGACATTAGGAAGTCAAATTGGAAGCCTGTTAGGGTGCTTAAAATCTCAGTGCTCTATGCTGATGAATAAATGAATAAGCCTATTTTAGTTGCTTTGCAGTTAGGTTTATATGAAGCCAGACATTTTTCACACAATTCATCTGATGTGATAGCAGGCATGGATCTTGATAAATTACTGGAAAACTATTCAGCCTTACAGTGAGGTGGATCAAACCTATAAGGGCCTGATCCTGAACTTCAAAATTTCTATTTAAAGTCCAGATTCTTGATTTGAATTTAGCTAATCTATGTATTTTATCCCTGACATTGCGATCAAAGTAGCAGCTTAGTGAAAACATCAAGATAGGTAGTTTATGTTATTATGTTATTAAATGTTATTAATTATTTATTAAAGGTTAGTTTTAGGTCTTGAGAAGCAATACATTCTAATTCTGAAATGACTATCTATTTACATCGTTCTGATGAATGTGGTTGTTTGCAATATATAAGGAGTTGGATAGACTGGAAATAATTTATACTTGAAAGATCTTTTTGCATAAAGAAACATGTCTGCCTTATGTGTGTGTGTGTTTTTTTTAAATAGAGGATGTGTTCTCCTTGAACGCTTAAAAATTACTGTTATTTGTGTAGACTCATTATTTTTATAGGAAAACATATTGATGACATTTCTGTTTTATTGTAGAAATCTTTATTTTTGGGTAGGAGATTAAATTCTAAAATAAAGTATTAAGCATGAAGTGGAGGTAATGCTGAATAACTCTTTAATATTGTTGGTTGTGGAGTGTTGACATTCACTGATCTGTGAAGTTGCTACTGCAAATGTATTGTGCATCTTAAGATAACTTGAGAACTGTACATGAGCTGTAAATGCTGCTTAAATAGAGAAAATATTTAGAGTTACCACAAAGCATTTCTGTACTAAGCTATTTCAGTATCTCAAAAAGGAAGCATGTGGAGAGCATTTCTTGTGTCTTTATGTCGTTTGGCAGTTTCCATGCTAATAAGGTAAAGGACTTAGTCCATCAATAGCAAGACAGACTGTTCAGACATTAGTTTCCTGTTCTGTGAGTGCTAGATCATTCCAAAATATGCATAGTAAAAGTCATGTACACTAAAAAAATCAGCTGAGCTGCAGACTGCTGGAAGCATCTATCAGGGAAGAACTGCTCTATAGATGACCCATTTCTGATACTTAGGTAGCAGATACTTAAGGGAAACTGCTGTCAGAAAATAGACACTGGGCCAGATATACTTTTGCTGTAACTCAGTATGGAATTTCTGATGTTTCAACAAGGCCTTAAATCAGATGAAATATGCCCCAGGCTTGAAAGACCTTTACAGAAGAAAATAATGCAATTTTGCCTATCATGTATAGATAATACTTA